AACATTCCACTGTAAATTCCATCACTTTCACTCAATGGAAGTTCCGTTAATTTATTCCACGTGCACTCATCGTAAAACTAGGATGAAATGTATTCGAATGTTTGTAAAAATTATCTTTCATGGAAGCGGAAACACAATCCGTGCATTGAATATTCTTTAATGAATAATTTTTTTCTTACCAATTTGAGAACCTTCAAAGCGATACCCCCAATTGTAAATACGGACGTCATTTTTTGAATCTAGTTAATTGAAAATTTGCCTTTAAAAAATAGCCTGAGGTGTTTTCACTATCAGGTGAGGATGAGTTCTACGCACGTTTCAGTATCTGGGCATCGACGAGCCCAGCCCTTCTTATCTAATCAGATAACATATTTTGAGAAAGAGGGAGAAATTTCACGATAATTTTAAAAGTGAGCCCATTCAGAGATTCCTCTCTGAGAAAATTGAATGGATACTATATATTTTTTTGTATTATGAAATACAGAAATATATATTTTCTAAATTGAATGAAATGATTTCATTAGTCCTGTGAATGGAATTACGTTTTGCCTTTGCAGGAGTTAGGGTTGATGATAACACCAGAACAAATAGCTGAAATGGAGGCAAATGTTGATGATATTTCTTTTGAAGCGGCTGCGGAGGAAGAAAAAGCCACTCGTCATGATGTAATGGCTCATGTTCATGTTTTCGGGAAACAATGTCCAAAAGCCGCGCCAATAATACACCTCGGAGCTACGAGTTGTTATGTCGGAGATAATACGGTATATTCCGGTTTTTATTAGGCTTTTTACAACTAGTAACACATATTTTGCTTTAGGATCTTCTTGTTCTTCGGAAGGGCTTTGACATTCTTATGCCGAAATTAATCGGAGTTATATCCCGATTGAGTAAATTTGCCGAAGAATACCGATCCTTGCCAACTCTTGGTTTTACTCACCTCCAACCAGCTCAACTGACAACTGTCGGTAAAAGAACCACTCTTTGGTTACATGATTTATTAATGGATGAAAGAGCACTACGACGTGCCAGGAATGACCTCAAGTTTCGGGGCGTAAAGGGAACAACGGGAACTCAAGCATCATTTCTTCAATTATTTAATGGTGAATATCATAAAGCCTTAATTCACACGTCTCATCACCATCCACTTAATAATAATTATTATTGATAATGTTTAATTAAAGGTGATGGAGACAAAGTGAAAAAACTCGATGATCGAGTGACGGAGCTAGCCGGATTCGATAAGCATTACGGAGTTACTGGGCAAACTTACAGTAGAAAAGTCGATGTCGAATGTTTAAATGCACTCGCATCACTGGGAGCAACTGTGCATAAAGTAAGAGTCTCTCAAAAAATAAGAACAAATACAAAATATATAATACAAATACTTTTAGATATGCAGTGATATAAGAATATTAGCCAACATGAAAGAAATAGAAGAACCTTTCGAACAGACACAGATTGGTTCATCTGCAATGCCTTACAAGAGAAATCCAATGCGTTCAGAACGCTGCTGCAGCATTGCTAGACATTTGATGACTCTTGTAGGGAACTGCTTGCAAACCGCTGCCACTCAATGGCTGGAGAGAACTCTGGATGACTCCGCAAATCGTAGAATAACACTCGCTGAAGCATTTCTCTCAGCGGATGTTATTTTAATGACCCTGCAAAACATCACTGAAGGATTGGTTGTCTATCCCAATGTTATTGCGCGACACGTCGCTCAGGAATTACCATTCATGTCAACTGAGAATGTGATTATGGCAATGGTAAAAGCAGGTGGAGATCGTCAGGTGTGCCATGAGAAAATTCGCGTTCTGTCGCATCAAGCTGGCGCTCAAGTCAAGCAACACGGGTTGGACAACGATCTCGTTGAAAGAATCAAGAATGACGCGTATTTCAATCCCATACGTCATCAGCTTGAAACCCTTTTGGAACCATCGACATTTGTTGGAAGATCACCGGAGCAAGTTACTGAATTTATTCAACAAGAAGTTCATCCCGTTCTCGCTCTTTACGAAGGAATAGAACAAGCACCTGTTGAACTGTCCATATAAATTCGCAAGGATTTAATTCAATTTTCTGTGCAAGACATATTTTCGGATTTTATTCAATCTTTTCAATTGATCAATACAATATTTTTTAATCGATGTATTTTTATTCACTTTGTTACATAAATCAACGATGATTGAATAAAATTGAATTGCTCATATTTCATTGTTTTTTTTTTGTTCTTTTTGCGAAGTTATCTACTGTGATAGATCCTAAGAAAGGAAGGGGGGCGAACACACAAGAAAAATAGAGCATTAAGGGGATAGAAATAAAATCACAGCCGAATGGGTTCACAGCGAGGAATCAAAAAATTTACAAAGTCACAAGAAATGCATATGACGAGAGAAAAGTAGGAAATAGCAGGTATAGTTACGACTGAGCTATAAACTAGTGAAACAACAGTACGTATTGAAGAAAAGAACGAAGAGTTTTTCTTAGTTGGAAAAATTAAATAGAGAATTATTGACAGGGTCGATTTTTTTTTTTATAAAAAGCGTACGTATAGAAATATAATCAAGGTGGGAAAGTAAATTAACTTTGAGTTCGAAAATATAGCTTAAAGAAAAATGAAAGGCTTTCGGAAGGAGAGAGATATCTGCAAAGGGTATATTATACCACAAGTGGTATAATTTATTTTTGAAAATAATACTGGTGGGTAGGCGGAAGGACTACAAATGTAGAAGTGTGTGTAAGAGTTGAAGAGAAAGGTGAAAAGAAAAGGAAAACACGTCTAAACAATAGAAGAAAAAGAAGTAATGAACAGAAGTTTAAATTGGAGAGATAATAAACGGTTTGAAGAAGTAAAAGAAATTAGAAAAGAAGAAAAACGTGGAAAAAAGTGAAAATGAATAAGGAAACTGTGAACATGACTGCGGAAAAAATGGAAGACAAAAACAGTGAGAGAATAGAGTACATAGGGAAGAAAAAAGAAATAAGGTCATAGAAAGTGTAAGATAGAAATGTGGAAAGGGAGGCGAAAGTAGATATTATAGAAATACATAGAGAAAGAAAGAAAGAGATAGACAGAAAGAGAGAGAGAGAGAGAAATGATGAAAAGATAGAGTGAAAGCCGAAGAAAAGAGAACATTAATAGAAAATAGGTGGGTGTAATAGATAAATCAAAACGAGAGATAGCAAACGAAGTCGTGAGCTCAGATTCTGATGGAAATATTGTAAATATCGAAATAATAGGAGCTATCACAGTGGTTTGCAATGGAATCGTCATCAATTAGTGAAACTGGACAGATGAAAGAGAAAAAAAAAACTTAACATGTACAAAGGTACGTCGGGAGTAGCGTTCGAGGCGGCAAATAATTTCGGTTTTAATCTTAAATTTCCGCTCTGATTTTTCGATGAAGATCCCAGCCTAATAAACTCCGTCTGAATGTTCATAATTTTTTAGCAACACGAAAACCTGTGTACGTCAAACCTTCAGTGGTTTTACCAGCATCAACGAATACGGCAAACTGATCCCCAATTTCGGCATCAAACAATACAATATTTGCTCCACCACCGGGGCCAGCTGATACAATTGGCCTCCAGCTGTCCGATTTGTTGGCTTTTCTCTTCAATGTTAACTTTAAGTCCGAGCTTCCATATCCAGCAAAACTAAATTGATAGAGTCCAGGACAATGTGTTGTGAATATTCCAGTTTCTGCGACATAACCAACGCCCTTGTTCACTAACGTCTCGCTGAAGATCAGTCGGGCATCCTGAGCACCAAAATCAAATTAATTAGCATTTCTTAATTTCAGGGCTCCATAGGGAATGGATGGTGCGTGTGTTTCAGGTTCTCCCAAGAAAAATTAAACGCGCTGAGAAGATATCCTTATAAGGATATAATGGCATGGACTTACATTATTTGTCCCCGATGTTGCGGAAAATGCCACCACCCCAGCGCAATCCTCAGCCGTGGCGATTCTGAGGGAACCAACGGTTGTAATGCCAGATGCTGGTGGATCTGGCTGGGCGGCTTCACCCAGGTAAGCTATTAATCCCAGCACAACTAGCCACACCAACCTGGAAATGCAATAACAGCTTCGGAATTAATTCAATTTCTCCCACAAAAATCGAATTCATCTACAAATGAGATTTATCATTCAAATACAAATAAGTGCATGAGCGACGCGAAGGGCGTAAAAGAGAGAGGGATAAAAGAGAGGAACTTGTTTACGCACCATTGGATCTTATTCCACTTTCTATACAAAGGGAAAGTGACAAGTTGGTCAGTTGACCTTGTTACCCAATTAAACATTGTCATAATCATTTTGAAAGAGCCGGTCAAATAAATATCAAAATGAGTTGTAATTTTGAGATATCGCCGACGATAAGATCGTATTAATTAAACATGTCGCATGAACGTTGACTATTGCGGACAAAATTGAACGGATTTTTTAAAACACTGCGTGATTGGAAACTGGTTTTTCGTATCCTTTCACTCCGTAGAAACTGCAGTACAGCAAAATAATGACATGAAAAACGAGTTGATTGTGATAAAAGTATTTCACTGAAAGATTGTTAAGCAGATTTTAAACTACATATCCCCGGAATTATTGACTTCTCAACTGAAGTACTTACTGTCTCAGTAAACACCCAGTTATTCGTTGCTTTCGTAATGATAATAAAACAAAGTTCGAAGGATACAATCGTTGAATTTGCATTTACATAAGAATGTTGAATGGCAAAAAAATTCGATGTAATAAACGCGTTAACAAAGAGACGCAATATCCAAAAAATAACAACTTTTGTCCAAGAGATTTGAACAATTAATAATTGGAAGGAAGGGCTAAAAATGAGATATCGGTATTGGATGAAATAAAAAAGATAATTAACTTACATGATGGCGAATTTTGGTGTGGCAGTTTGAATGTTTCAGCCTCCAGCCGGGACTGCCGGAGGTTGGACTGGTGTTGCCTTTCTGCTGGCAGTTCTAGTACGTTCGCCGTTCTTGTCACTTGGTACCCGCCTTTATATCAACTTTCGAGCCCCGACTATCTGACCTAAAGCTCCGTACTCTCAGTTTTCTCTTTCTTCCATCAGCACCTTGGTGTACAAACTATTATTCCCCACCCAACTCCAACGCATTTTCCCCACTATACAAAAACCATATTTTTTAAAACCCTTCAATTCTCCATTATTATTCGTATTCGCATTTGCCCCAGTTAACGGCTATTAATTTCATAAAAATTATCTCAACTCTATTAATATAATTCTCATTCTGACACAGATACTCCACGAAATTGCATTGATCTAGATTATAATTGGAGTTGCACATCATATATTTGAATGTTAAGTAGCAGTAATAGATGTTCAAATTTTCACTTCCGAGCATGTAATTTAACCAGTGCTAGTACTGTCGACGACTTATTAATAGAACTAGAGTCGTATGTCAAATTAATAAATCATGTGCTGTACAGCTAACACCGAAGTCAGCTAGCTAACAAACTGCACTATTGCATAATGAGAAATAATTACATGGTTCGACTGGATGCGCATGTTCCAGTGGAGCTTCTCATTTTCCATGTGAGTCAAATATTTGTGGTAATGTGAATAGTTAATAAATTATCAACAGGACTAAAAGAAATCAAAAAACAATGCAGCGAGTATACTGACAGATTTATTAGCAATAATGTAAGAAAAAATCGAGCTGCAAAAAATAAGACTGGATTATATACAGATATTTTTTTTTCTCCTTTCGTCTATTCTCCGTGAGATTTCAACTCGCGCTTTTGATTTATTTATTGACTATTCTAAGGGCACAACTGTAGGATCCAGATTAAAACTTCCAATCGACTTTCACTCGTTTGTGTAGCGCTGAGACACTTTCACAAAGATTTTCAATTCATTTGCCATTGGACAGGGGATAGAAATCAGGGGAATTATCGTTACACGAATCAGTATAAATTAATTATATAAGTAAAATTTGGACAATCGATAAAATTATATGATTCAAACGAGAAGATGATCGCTTTGACATGCTGGTCCATCACTGGGCCAATTACAAGCTCCAGCTCTACTATCGAATGATAAATGCACTGGGCAGTCGGATAAATTGAGTATAAATTTTTCCTCCGCTTGATCCCAGTGGCAAACGTAAAATTTATTACAAAATTTCGGGTGCCTAAAAAGCCCTGCACGTGCGCATTCCTCTTTGCCTTCTGGATCGACTCCTAAAAATTCAATTTCATCGGTATCAAATGTTTCATTATTTTGATTACCGTCCCGATAATTTTCAAAATGAGACAGGTTTTTGCCATCTCTTGATTTACTCGTATCGATATTTCCATCCAGAGTTAAAGTACGTTTTCTGGAAATTTTTACGTTAGATGTGAATTTTTCCGATGAAGATGTGGTTGTCAGTCCAATATTCTCACTATATCCTTTATTGGTTCCCAGATCGACGTCAATGTCCGATTCATCGTAGTTTGCCAGGTCAATAATTCCTTTCGATGAATCGATCAAGAGCGGTTTATTACTTTTGTGAAGAGCAAACGGATCGGATCGGCAGGTGCATTCAGCCTCCAATTTTTCAAGTAGAACAGGATGTAAATCACTGTATTTAACTACAACCTTTCCTCCTTTCTCTATTTTAACAATTCCAGATGATGGGATCGCTGATGAATCTTTGTAACCTCCATTGTAGGTTGTCACAGCCGGTTGTTGAGTCGTTACTTTTATTGGATTATTTTTATTGATTTCCGTATCGTCGTATTGATCATGAGTTGGTCGATACTTGGAAGTTCCTCGATTGTAATTATTTCCGGGTTTGGGGGATTCCTTTGTTGTTTCTTTTGTTTGCTGTACCAATATTGGCTTGATTGTCTGCTCACCGGTTGGAGGAAGTGAATTAGGTCTAGGGTAATTGTAATTTACATCAATTGGCGTAATTCGTGTGGGTGTGGCATCATACGTGTCTGCCGGTGCCGACAATGTAGTCGATGCTGAATTCTCAAACTGCATGAAAAAAATTGTTATCAGCAAAATGGATAAATTTTATCTAGACCGTTTTTCCAGCTGTCATTGCATTCTAGAAAAAAGGTCTTAAGAAGAATTTCCTTTTACCTTTAAATAAAAAATGAGAAAATATATTATATTTACCCTGGATTTCGTGGAGGTGTCGAATTGCGTATTTAAATCATTGGACTCTATTTTATTTTGGGAAATTTTTTGTCCAAAGCTCGTACTTCGATCTTCGTAGTCGTATCCTTCATCGACAGTCTGAGTTGATTGTCCATAATTTCCTTGATCATTTTTAAAATCTGTGGACGATATACTCGAGAATTTATCGTTTTTATCATCTTGATTATCAATTTGGTTGTCTCTGAGATTCTTTCCTACGCTAGAGGAGGAAGTCGGTCTTGTGAATGGCTGAGAAAAAAGGCCAGCATCGGGTATTGAAGTTGACGACTTGAATTTGTAACCATCGCTTGATAGTTTTCTAGTCGTATCCACAATGGATTCTGCAGTCGATGAAACAGAAAGCGGAGTCGAAGGTGCCGTAGGGGATATTTCTGATACTTTTGAGAAAGTATTAATATCTACTGGTCTCGAAGTTATTCCTGGTTTATTATCAATTTGAATATTGTAAATAGGCGTTTGAGTTGTAATTTCTCCCTTTTTATCGTAAGCCACGGTCGTGGATTCTATACGTTTTATATATGACTGTGAATTTTTCAAAATAGGGCTATTGGGAATAGACTTGGCTTGCAGTGTTGATTGCAGTATATTATTTAAACTACTGAAAGCATTTTCCCCAATTTGAATTGTATTGCTTTCTGTTATTGGTGTCGGTTTATAAGATCCCACAACATACGTTCCACTTCCACCCAATTGCGCTTTTGTTATTCCTGTTTTTGCGGGGACTGTTTTAATAAAATCTGGCGCCGTATAAATTCCCGCAATAGGGCTAGACGTTTGATTTCCAGGTATCCACGGTGAAAGAGTTTGGTACGGAATTTTTCCACTTTTAATATCATCCTCCGTATATTTATGGGTGATTAAACCATTGTTGTAACGAATTGTGCTGCGACCCCCGTTGTCATAATACTCATTAGTCTTGTAAGAATTGCCGCTAGAAGGTCTCAGTGTAACTTCGGCAGAATTACCGGCTTGATTTGGATAATATTTATTGCCAGAGCCGGTGGCTGATGTTGGCGGAAGAAATGGATTTCCCTTATACAGTGGATTTCTAGATGGATATGTGAAAATTGGTGTTCCCACTCCTCCCTCATAATTTGGAGCTGGTGTCGGTGGGAGGAATGGATTTCCTTTATATCCCGAATTAATGGACGGTTGATTTACGAAAAATTCATTATTATTAACTCTGTCGCCGGGTGTGGACGGTGTTGATGGGAGAAAGGGATTTCCTTTATACCCCGAATTACTGATTGGATAATTCACAGATAATTCATTTCTATTACTTCCTTTAAAGGGTGCTGCAGGTGTCGATGGTAGGAAGGGATTTCCCCCATTGATTGGGTCCTTAGAAGCGTAATTGGTGAAAAATTGGTTGCCATGAGAGCCCTTGGGTATTGCCACCGAATAATCATCTGGTAATTTTTCTCGAGTAACTCCATTTAATATTGCATTTTGTGTACCAAATGTTGTAATTTCCGACGAGGTTACATAGGGGTTAGTGGAATAATGAAATCCTAATTTTCCTGAGGGAAGGGCAGGCGTTACACCCGAATGAATTTCATTGAGAAAAGATGTTTGGCTTCCTCCAGTATTTCCAAACGCTATTCCAGGTTGTTTGTTTTGTCCGAATTGATTATTTGTTATTCCTCGATTTATCGCTGGAGTGTACGGGAATTGAATTTCTCCGGCGCTGTTTGTATTATATTGCTTAGTCGATTGTATTGAACCAAATGTATTCGATACACCTGGATAATATTTCGATTGAGTTTTAATGCCAATAGTACTGGCTTGATTAGGATGATATGCATTCCCAATAGAAATCCTTGAAGTAACACCAGACACATCGGATCCAGTGAGACCAATACCCTTTCCCAAATTGATCTCTCTATTTTTTGGATTATCTTGTAATAAATCATAGTCTGCATTCGAATTTATGGAAATCCCAAAGCCGGGTTTTTCACTTTGTGTCGGAACATATATAGGACGATTTATACTCGATATTATTCCAACAGAATTGCTTGTTTGAATAGATGATTCACTTGACGTTGCTTCGTCCGGTTTAGATGAAATTTCCTGCGCATTTGGACTTCCAATATTTACTGAGATTTCAGTTAATTTTCCACCATCTACCGAATAATCTCGATACTTCGGTGTTGACGGGAAAATATTATCTTGAGATGGAATAGTTGAAATCAAACCACCCTCTGGGGCTATTGTTGCTTCATTATTCTGGGTAGGTTTTAAAGTGGTGGTATAATTTTTTTTGATTTGTGGGTTTTCTTTATCCCTGGGTTGTGAAGGATTACTGTTTCCTTTAGAATTATCTGCGGCTTCTGTGACGTGATTTAGAGAGGAGTGGATTTTTTTCGTGTAATTTTTTTCGTGTCCATGTGACGAATGATCATAGCGGTTTGAGTACTCTCGCGCAGAATTATTGGATGGGCCATTATTTTCTCCATGTTTTACGGAATTTGAAACACCAAAATCTAGAGTACCGTAGATGTTCTCCCCACCGTAGTTGTAATTTTTACCAGCACAGGCGGGCACTAGCCATGGCCAATCGCACACTAATTTTTTTTCATCAAACACCAATCCGTAAGGACATCGGAATTCGTATGGTGTCATATCATCCTGTCCTAAATTCATACAGGCGAAGAACCATCTGCAGTTGTTAGGATCAGCGTAATAACCTTCTCCAGGACAGCGGAATCTTCGTGGAGCTGTTGGTGCGATTTCGCTGCTTCCGGGACAAGGTGAACCTTTTGGCATAGAACCAGGCCAGACACATACTTCAGTTCGTTCATCGAATGACAAACCATCGGGACAATCAAACTCGAATACACTGTAGTTTTCAACTTGTTGATTGAATTTTACACAGCGGTAAAACCTGTTGCAGCTCTTCGGGTGTACAAAGTGGCCTTGTTTCATACAGATAAACTCAGTTTGCTTATTTTCTCTGACAGCACGAACGTTACCTCCACTATCAACCACTTGAACTATCCTGAAGTTGGAGGATTTCACACTATTTGGATATGGACTTGCCGTATTTTTAATATCTGTTTCGAGTGAATTCAGGACGGCTTCTCGAGTTTTTCTCTGGTTATCAGTAAAGGAGTGATAGATTTCCTCAAGAATGCTTTTGCTGCAGTTCGTTGTGGAGTCATTTGCTACATCATGGATCGCAAGACCGGCTATGTCTCGAAGAAGAACGTACTTGCCCTTGATTTTTGTGGAAATTTCATCCTCGAATGCAATCCAAGTCAATCCATTGAAAATGTAAGGAGCTGTAAGATCACCCTCTCGTTCAATTATCCATTCCCCGTTTTTGATAATTTCACAGAATTCCTTTCGATCGATTATCACCGGCTTTTCGTCGACTGTAGGTGCACCGAGTGCATTATTCTTTGAATCCTGGAGAGTAAATTTATATCCACTCGCTGGCACAGAAATTACTATCTTCCCTTTATCAACACCAAGGCCATGGATAAGATCCACCAAATTATCTGTATTCAAAAGATCAGACAGTCCCATCAATCTCGAAGGATGAAAAGTTTTAAATAAATCATCATCACCCATGAGATAATGCGTGGGGACGGTAAACAAATCGACATATCTGCGATAAATAAAATCAATGTATAAAAATATAATTTCTCAAGCATATACCGAATAAATTTTATTTCCTTACTTTACGAGACTTTTCAAGTCAAACTCCTTCACAAGGTGTTCATTTTTTTGTGGCAATGCTAATAAAATTCTTTTCATTTCAGATTTTCTACTCATTTCTTCTCTCAAGCCCTGAATAAAATGCACTAAACGTTCTTTATTGCCTGCAGTTATATTCAATTCTACACCGTCAACCTACAAACACATTATTATTATATTATACTAGTAAATAATATTAAAATCAATTAAATAAAATGCTAATTTTGATTTATCCCCACCTCTTTCAAAATTGCACAAATTGCGGCGATTGCTTGCGGAATAGCTGCTGCAGAAGTTTTCAATGACTCTTGATGGTCATCGATGCTGACGACAAATTGAATAGTTGGATTGATTTTCTTCAAAGACTCTCGGATTCCCCGAAAAGCTAAAAATTATTAAAAGCCCCGTCATAAGCTGGAATGAGTGTTATAAAATTACGGAGTAATGAGCAGATTATATTTGTGGAAATGTATAGAAAGATGCCAATATGGCTTCCCCACTTGGTGGTGCATTCTTATTAAACTATAAAATGAATATCTTTGCTGAATGCTAATGATGTTATCGTAATGAGCGAAGAAGAAAACCATATGAATCAGACGGATGCACTTATGCCTGACGTCACGATTCTGGGTCAAATGTCATGATGACGTCATGTATATTAATACAATTAATGGCATCTTGGAACTTCATAGGATTTCCTAGATTAATTCCATTCAATCAGTGCATAAATCAATACAACCGGCCATATGTGTGATGATATATTAAAATTTATTGAAAAGTGAGACTTAATTATGATTTATGCTCTCTTCTGATTTCCTTGGAAAACGTTCGTGCAGCTTCGATTCAATGAATAATTCTCTTCGGCATTCAATGTAAAAAAATGGTGATGTATTTGGCTGAATTTACCAACAGGAAAATTAACATCTCATCATTATCAGAGATTCAATCACTCCGGGGTGTGGCTGGGATTATTTCGCAAATAATAATTATACTTGTGTAATTTTATTTTAATTTATTTCATCTTCAGTGATGATTGCGACAGAATTTTCAATGTGGAATTCAATTCATTCTAAGATTGAATCGTCAAATGTTCATTAAATCTTCAAAATAGAAAACTCCTTGGATAAATGAATGAAATAAATGAGAGAAAATAATTTTTTTGCAAGTTGGACGGTGGGAAAAATTCCAACCGCTTTAATTTTAAATTTCAAGAGTAATTTTCTGACAGAGAATGTTGAAACTCTCCACTATTGTACAAACATTTATTTTGGCTTTACGCAATGACCATAGGATCGCGATATATTCTCAAGTCATGGAATTGCTTTTTTTGTCTCATCTGAGGTGGTATGTGATGTTTCTTGCACGAGGGTTTCCTTATGTGGACGGCAATTTGAACGTCACTACGACAAAGTATTTATGATTCCAAGGGAAAGTGTTTTATTCGTTAGCAGGATATAAGGTTGTTCACATTTTATTCCATAATTATATATACAATAAAAAAAAGTTGAGGTGATAACAGGCGAAGAGTGAGAAAACCCCTACCCTCATGGATATTCTTTAAAATGGGATAACGAGTCACAAATCACCACACAAAAACATTGATTTCCTCAACTAAATGGTTCCATAGATCTCAACTAATGAGGTTGAAGCAAAAAATTGTATAATTTTTGCCATTCCTGGTACCCAAGAAAGCTCACAGCACACGCAAAAATCAAGACTGCACGCTTCTCACGTCAAGCGTGTCATACAAAAAAAAAATTAGATTGCATAGAAAACAGACAATAATAATCAGAAAACCATCGTACATTTTCCTTTCAAAATTGACAGCATTACGAGAGACAAAAAAAAGCAGCCTAATAAATGGAAATTGTTTTCTCTTTGAAATGATGAAATAATTTTCTGGAAAGTATTGAAACTGAAATGATATTATCACTCTCTCATTTTCTCTTGTATATTTTTCATGGGATATTTACCGGAAACCGCAAGATCCTGAAGATTATGACCCTTGAACACAATCGTTGTGCATCGGCAAATTGAATTTTCGAATTGCTTCAAATCATTTGATGAAATGTAACAGAGGATTTCTCGTTGAGGATTGAGTTCCTGACTGGGACACTCTGGTACAAACAAAAACTTATCATGTTAGTTGTTTCATTATTACTATATATTGAGAGAACAAGAGAAAATTATTTTCTTTAGTTTCATTTATGCATTTGAAGTTGACATCATCGACAGTTACGGCTATAATACAGTAATTTGCATAGTTGCTGAAGATGACTATGACTCTATAACATCTCTACACAAAACGAAATTATTAAAATTTTATGTTCCGTTATGTTTAATTATCGCCAATCATTAATTTCCATTAAAAATAAAATTATAAAAATCAAGAAGTACTAAAATAATGTTTGAGGGAATAAATTTACGGGTAAAAATTAATTTTTGGCGAATAATCGTTTAACTCACTGGTAGTGTATCCAAAGGCCAAAAGTCCCAGGAAAAATAGGAATTCAGGCCCTCCCATTTCCGTAAAAATCAGTAGAAATAAAAATTTGAAATTCGAAATTGCACTTGCACGAATGTTAGTGTTGGTCCTTCAAGTGAGAGAGCACGATTTGTACTGAATCCTGAAGAGGTATGCTTCAGGTGTGCCGTGAATGCTCCCAGACGATCCAAACGAGACAAGAACGTCATACGTTGCCTCTTCCTCTTGTCGACACGTCTGGTAATAAACAATCTGAAACTGCAATTGCTTAAAAATTCAATTACCCAGAGTATGGCAGAGAAATGTTACTCTGTTCCCTCGAAGGTCAGGCCGCCAGCTGAGGGTAAAATTTTTTTGTTATAATTGGTATGATAATCATATTTCGCCAGGAGAATCACCATATATTTTCATGTTGTATTGGATTCATAATTACCGATAAAAAAAAATATCGTTATAGAATTACAAAATTTATTTAATTAGAGTAATTGAAATAATCAATCGATTACTCTTCATGCGAGAGCTTGGGCGAATTTGACATGAAGGAAAACCCTGACCTTACGCATTGAAATAAGGAAAAAGAATATTATTATCATTAAGTACTTTCTCTGATGATTGCGTAATAGGTTAGGTATGCATCTCGCCCCGAGCTATTCATGTGCTCAGATACAAAATTTGAAAAATGTTGAGGGTTGACGGAAGATTCCGTATAATTGAAATGAAGATAAGTTTCATTACAAAGAACGAAAAATTCTCAAGTATCTCTACTTTGAGTGAACAACTCATCGGCATTTAGAGAAATTATTATTTCCAGGGCTCCTGCTCCTTTCTGTAGGTGTAGCTTTGATCCGCGTGGACGAATTTTCATCTCTGATTTAGTCAAGGTCAGCAGCTTGAGATCGAGAATTCTTGGTTGGTGGAATAATTTCCCAAGATTCTGTTCTCTGGTTTGCATTTGCTCCGCTAGCCTCTGCTGTGATCTCGTCTACGTCTGCTATCCATCTGAGGCGATATGCTCTGCTCGGCTCTGCTCCCTGCCTCGGTCTACCCGCTGCGACTCCAACGACGCATCTGAAATTTTATCCCAGATTCACGCCCTAATATCAACTTGCGCAGACCGTGAAGAGGGCGCGTGCCGAGTGATCTCTAATTGGTTCAACTTCTAAATTTCTCGCTTCGATTTCAAAATTAAAATTATGCGCAGTATGTTGTACGCAGGATTCAGTTTTAAACTCCCACTACGAAATTTCCGCCAATTGCAGCGACGCAACTGTGTATAAGAACAGTGCATCTCGCCCAGAGGGGTGCATTTCGTTCCTGAATTTCATCCAGTGAAGAGCTCCAGCCAGCAGCAGTGACATCGGAATCCAGCAGCCCAGCAGTGACATCGGAATCCAGCAGCCCAGCAGTGGCATAGGAGTACAGCGGCTAAGCAGTGAACGAGGCGATCCAGAGAAGGAGCAGAGGGAATGCAGAGTGGCGCTGTCTATATCTGCAGTGTCCTGACGCGAGTATCCAGCAAAGCGGTGGACTCCTCGAGAGAATTGCTGTGGAAGTTCCGGCGTACGGCGCGGCTGGCACATCGCAGACGCTCGACGATCGTCTTTCGTTCGAAAGACTGGCTTTGTCAGCTACGGATGAATTCTCAATATCGCTGTTGATTTTTCAATCGGCTCTTTTCAGAGCCCTGGAATTCTCATAATCCAGTCGGCTCTTGAGCTCTGGATTAAACAAAACACAATCGGCTCTTTTCAGAGCCTTGGATTACTCAATTCGCAACCGGCTCATTAGAGCTCTGGTTTCTAAAGCCCAGCAGAAAGAGGGGAGGAGAGGAGAGCATAGCAGAGCCCACCAGTACAGAGTAAAAAAAACTCTGAGATAATGCTGATACGAAAACTCATATTTGGAACTCAAAAAATTCAATTTCGCTTTTAAAATTTCATTTTGCGTAAGCTATTCAATTTCGTTACAACAAAAGAAGAACTAATGGCGGCAAGACAATTGATCTGTGCCATGAAAATCGTATCATCTGGAGAGATTACAATTTTGGGAATACTTCGAAGCGGAACAAGTCGATGATGGTGGTGAAAAATAATTTCATGGCTCCCCGATACCCAAAATACTTTTATTTTTCTCCAATTTTGTTTTATTCTCTTTTTTTCATTCTTTCTTTATGTGCCATATCACGAAAAATAAGCTTGAAGAAGATTTCATTTGGTCAGAGAAAATCTACACCACCACGGGCGATAAAAAAGTCAAACTTGTTTGTCACGCTCTCTAGCGTCATTTTATTTCGAAGAAGGATTGGAAAGTTCTGACATCTAAATCGTACAAATTCCGCCATAGGATAACCTTACAGTGGAATTAATTCATAATAACAAAGATTGATTGTGAATATTGCCTGGTGAAATCCGTGAGTTCGAGTCATTGAATTTGATGGCCAAATGGATCAAAAATGAAAAATAAAAATAAGGAATAATATGCATGTGATATTGTTTCTCCAGTGGTGTGGTTGACAGCTGCAATAAACTGTCCATTCAAAATGATTTTTAGATAATAAAACACGGACGATTGTTTCTCAAATCCACTGTTATCTAATAATAGAACTCCGTTATGGACAATAATTGGAAATAATACCCTCTCCATGATTCGGCCTATTTAATGACCAACTATATCAATCACATATTCAAAATATAAAATAGGCCTTATTTTTCGATAAAAAACTGAAAAATGTTCAATCGATTCAAGTCGGCTTTAATAAATGCGGTGTCGGGTAATGAGCTTGGCTTACAATATCACAATGATTCGGAAAATGAAATTGCCAGTGATTATGTCAATTCAAATGTGGAGATTGAGGCAAAACCGTACAGTAGACCATGTTTCTTAGGTCTTACAAATGAGGAGACGCAGGTAATATTTTTTATGAATTTTGGACAAATATCGGGCTTACAAATATTCTCATAATTTCCTACAGTCAAAAAGCACATGTACATTATCTGTTGGAAAATATTTGGCTAGTGTAATTTTATAAATTATCATTTACTGCATTCGAAAAGTATTCAATTTGCCAATTTGAATGAAAAAATTGTTTTATGCTGTTGTTAGATAGGCTTGTCTCATTTTGTAATTAGGTCAGCGCGGATCATAAAGTGCGGCCTATAATCGTTCCAAGGGACCTGAGTCGTTTGCCATGGTGTGCTGGTTATGCAGAATGCATAAATGCAGGAAAAAGTACATGGAATGAGGACCAGGCAGCAGCAACAAGAGGAGATTTATTCTTATCTGACAGAGATATATCACTGCCTTATATTATATTTTCAATGTTTGATGGACATGCTGGATATCAAGTGGCACTCACATCTAGGTTACATCTGCATCGACTTATTCTCGTAAAAAATTACCTTTTTGATTTATCTCTCAAAGTAGAATACATAAAAAAACTGTAATAACGATAATTTCGTTACTAGGAACGATTACAAGCCATTCCTGGTCATATGCTGCTTAATGATAATGGAGATAATTTTATAAGAGGGAGAGATCTTGTAATTGGAGCTATTGAAATGGCATACAGGCAAATGGATCAGCTAGTTGAACATCAGGCACAAAACGGTGGCGGCGGGTGTACCGCACTCACTGTTTTATTTTTAAATGGAATCCTATATGCTGCAGGTGCTGGAGACTCGAGGTTTCAAATTTTATTTTTCTCTTCTACGAGAAAGAGAGACTTTCAAATTAATGAGCTGTTTTTTCTAGAACCGTACTTGTCCATGGAGATGACCAACGCGCATTAACCACAGATCATACTCCCGATTCTGAATCGAATCGTGTCAGAGCGTTGGGCTCGCTGAAAGATGGTGAATTGTTGAAGGGTTATTTTACACCGTTAGAATTCCGCAAACGTCCATTGGAGAAGGAATTGGGTTCAATGGTGCTTTATCGAGAGCCCTACATGACTGGTTGGACGTATAAAGTTTTGACACATCCTGATTTGAAATTACCCCTCGTATCTGGTCACGGAAAGAGGGTAATAATGGATAAATAACGGTCAAAAAAATACCAGTGAATGAAAAGAACATTTTTTTTCTTGAATTGAATTGATTAAAATATTTAATAGTTCATTTGCTAAATGCCTGCTTTATGGATTGTTGTTCTTTTTTTTTTTTGTAAAAGAGTCGAGTGATGGGAACAATTGGAGTAACAAGGGGATTCGGAGATCACGGATTGAAAGCAGCTAGCACTGGTGTTAGCATCAAACCATTCTTATCCTCTCAGCCGGAAATCCAATGCCTCAGGTTAGATGAATATAAACTCACAGAGAGGGATTGCGTAATAATCGCAACAGACGGATTATGGGATGTTGTCAGTAACAAGGATGCAGGAACAATTCTTCGGAAAACACTAGCACCAGATACGCCCTCATTAGAATACAGGTATTTTTTCTATTTCGCGATTTTTTTATTTTATTGTTAAAAAAATATTATAAGCATAAATGGACAACAATTTCGAATATCTGAAATAATTTTAGATTAACTATGGGCGCTCAAGAATTGGTTCAGGCAGCACGAGGTCGTTTGATTGGTCGAATTTGGCGAGGAAAGCCAGAAAAGGTCGATGAAAATGATGACGAATATTTACCCATGGCATCAGTTGATGACATAAGCGTTATGGTTGTTCCAATCTATCCGTATTTATGTGAACACAGACAGTGGTTGAAAACGATGCAACAAGAAAAAATGTATTTATTAAAAAACGTGCCTGAGTGAGATTCACGGTGACACGGATAGTACTGCTGATATATGGGTCACTCATGAAATTTAATATTTATTGTTGAATTATGGAGAAATAAGATCAGTTTGAGTTCATGTGTGGCCACGGAAATTTATGTAGCACTTGACATTTTTTATGACGCATGAAAATCTAATGTATGGAAACATCGTATGTTCAGATGTGCATGCATCGTAGAAACTCGTTAAAAACATATGTTTATAGTGTATTAACAAATTATCTTCATTGACCAGCAAAAAAAAGGGCAGGAGTGAGGCTAGAATTAAAATGACGGAGTCACCGTTTTTTAAAATTCACAACTACTCGATACATTCCACTTTTATCAAATTTATCGAATCAAATAAAATGAGGATAAGTATGAAAATTTATACCTAAAGACGAATTTGCGGATTCTTGAATAAATCAGTAGGCAATAGACGATAATAATTAAATTAGTGTTGTACATAATTAATGACGGTCGTGGGAAATTTTATTTTTGTCCTTGTATTTAGCTCGTATGAATAAATTGAGTGAATTTTGAAAATTGGTGCATCTTTACCAAAAAATTTCGAATTTTCGTGTTACTTGGCCCTTGACGTGATTGCAGTAATGGTATTCTAGAATTATTTTTACATGAATTTTTCAAGATATTCTTAAATTCCGATCCAAGGTCACCGAGACTACTGAGGGTATCGGTTATTTCATTTATTTGTGAAGATGAATTTTCCAATTGTAAAACTGATCATAATTTTTCGATTCAAAATGTAATATTCTTTCCTGTGAAATGCAGCAACGTGTATCGCAAAAAAAAAATCTTAGTATTTTTTAACCTCCACATTCCTATTCATTTTCAAAGGGTTCCATAAAAATTCAATCCGTATTGAATTCGGATTCAACAAAATTTTGAGGTTCTAAATTTGGGCTCGTTGGACATTCGAAAAAATGGTGGTGGTTGATGTACCGTACGTTCCGTACCGTATGTCCTTCGCCGTGGGTGTTGGTGACTCCAAGGTTTTTTATTTTCGTTCTCTTCAGAGAGGATCAGAGACTTTCAAAATGATGACTTTTTTTTTCAGGACGGGATCGTGTCAGAGCGTTAAGTTCGCTAGAGAATGGCGGATTGTTGGAGAGTTATGTTGGATCGGCAGGATTCATTTTTCAATTGGTGAATCGAATAATTTTCCAAGTTTCTCCTGCTCTATTCTGCTGGGCTCTTTGGTGGTCTCTGCTTTCCTCTGCTTTGCTCCTTTCCTTTCCACGATGTGACCGCTGCAACTCCGACGGCGTAAATGAAATTTTATCCCAGATTCACGCCCTCATATCAACTTGCGCCGACCGTGGAGAGGGCCCGTGCCGATTGGTCTGATTCAAATTTGAAATTCAAAATTTCTCGTTTCAATTTCAAGATTAAGATTATGCGTTGTATGTTGTGCGCAGGATTTAGTTTTAATCTCCCACCACGAAATCTCCGCCAATCACCGTGTCGGAACTGTGTATAAGAATAGCGCAACTCGCCCAGAGGGGTGCATTTCGTTCCCGAATCTCATCCAGTGAAGAGCTCCAGCCAGCAGCAGTGACATCGGAATCCAGCAGCCCAGCAGTGGCATAGGAGTACAGCAGCCAAGCAGTGAACGAGGCGATCCAGTGAAGGAGCGGAGGGAATGCAGCGTGGCGCTGTCTATATCTGCAATCTCCTGACGCGAGTATCCAGCAAAGCGGTGGACTCTTCGAGAGAATTGCTGTGGAGGTTCCGGCGTACGGCGCAGCTGGCACATCGCAGACGCTCGACGATCGTCTTTCGTTCGAAAGACTGGCTCTGTCAGTTACGGATGAATTCTCAATATCGCTGTTGACTTTTAAATCGGCTCTTTTCAGAGCCCTGGAATTCTCATAATCCAATCAGCTCTTAGAGCTGTGGATTATAAACAAAACACAATCGGTTCTTTTCAGGGCCCTGGTTTACTCAATTTGCAATCGGCTCTTTTTAGAGCCCTGGATGACTCAATTCGCAACGGGCTCATCAGAGCCCTGTTTTCTAAATCCCAACAGGCCAGCGCACAAGAGGGGGAGCATAGCAGCCCAGCAGACCAGAGCATAGCAGAGCCCAGCAGTAAAGACCAGAGCATAGCAGAGCCCAGCAGTAAAGACCAG